CGGCTCCTGGCCCTCTCGCACCCCTGCCGTTTTCCCTCTCGGGGCGCACGAGCCGCTCCGACTGGGCAGGCGCAGAGCGCATGCGCTCCCTCCTCTCCCACCGCCTGTCCAACGAGCCCAGGCTCCAAACCCCCGTTGGGGCTCTGCCCAAACGGACGCCCTTCGAGGCTGCTTCCCCCAAATCCCCGCCTATGTCTGTCCCTCCTCCTCGATCCTCCCCCCAGCCGCCTCCCCCAGTTCTTCTGATTCCTCTGCTTCAGTCTCCCACCCCTTCTCCCTTAATCCCCCAGCCCCTTCCTCCCTTTGCCCAGAGCCCCCTCTTCTAAGACCCCCAGACCCCTCCACTCCGATCCACTGTCTCCTAATCCTCTCAGATCTCTCTCCTCTCCCTCCCAAACATCCCCCATGCGTCAACCCTCTCCCCCCTGCTCCTCTTAGATCTCCGCCCCAATCCCCCTTCCCCTAATGTGCCATCTCCTTTCATTTCTCCATATTCCCCTGTTAATTTCTCTGAACTCCTCACCCCTCCAGACCCCTTCTTCCATCTCAAGATCACTTCTGATTTGCAAAGACCCTCCCCAGGCTCCCCCATTTATTCTCCATAGACCCCACACACATCTCCTTTGACTGATTGCTGCTAACCCTCTGCTTTACCTCTGCTCACCCTCCTCCCCATGAGGCTTCTGCCCTGCCCTTCTCAGGCCCTTCCACCTATCCCTAGTCTGGCCCTAGGGTGACCACTGGGCAGCCCCCCTCATGCCCACACTCCCCCCTCACTGCCCTGTGGAGCTGGGCTCCCTCAATGAGCAGGACAGCCGCCTGGCCCAGCTACACCAGCTGGCGATTGCTGGAGGACCCTGCTGGCGGCTGGCCCGGGTCCTGAAAAAAGGTGGTCCTCCGGGGTTCCCTTCACAGACTCCCAGCATGGTGGGGAGGACTGGCTGTGGAGTTTAGGGGAGTCAGCAAGGGGAGGCGTGGGCATGGAGGGACTCTTTTGGGGTGGGCAATGCCACGAGAGGCGCCATGCCCCTCCTGAGGCTCCCTGCCCCTTCCTTTTCCCCCCAGGGGTACAGGTGGATGGGGAAAACTCATCAGGTCAGACCGGCCTCTTCCTGTCAGCGCTGCTGGGCCGAGCAGGTGCTGTTAGACTTCTCCTCCGCTTTGGGGCAGACCCCAACCAGTGAGTCAACCCGGAGCCCCATGGCACCTCAGCCCCTCAGCGACCACACCTGAACGTCAGCCTCCTCCCCATCTGCCTCTCTTCATTTCCCCCTCCTCCCCTCTCTCCCAGTGACTCAGTTTCCCTCTCTCCATCTCTCTCCCACAGCCGCTGCTTGGATGGAAGTACCCCAGTCCATGCAGGAGCTTTCTCTGGTCATTGTCAGGTCCTTCTTTGGCTGCTGGAGGCTGGTGGAGACCTGAGGCTGCATGACCAGCAGGGCTGGACAGCAGAGGATTGGGCCCGGCAGGCTAGATCAGAGAGCTGGGAAGTGAGCAAGAATCGTGTGTGTGTGTGTGTGTGTGTGTGTGTGTGTGTGTGTGTACCCACCCATGTGCTTGTGCACGGGCATTGAGGCAGAGTCCAACAAAAGAGAACTGGGAATGGGGAGGAGGGAAGGTGAGGAGTAGGCCTTTGGAGATACCTGACTTAATACTGATAACTCACATTAGAGATAAAATGATGGCATATAGTGGTTAGCCAGCTGGCCTCCAAGACAGGGAGACTTGGGTTCCAGTCCCGTCACTGACATCTCCTGGCTGTGTGATAGGGATGGAGACTCCAGCTCTGGGGGAACTCGTGGCTGAGGGCAGGCCCTCTGCCATCCCAGAAGGCAGTACCTTTCTGGGTTCATAGCTGCACTGAGAAGAGACATGACATGATTGTCCAGGATCCCAGGGCCAGCACGGGTTGGAAGCAGGCCTCAGATCCAAAAGATGGTTCTATATAGACTATGCCAGGCAGCCTTTCACTGGGGGAACCCAGAATTGCTGAGGGAGAGGGGGTTTCCATACCAGGAGGCCTCTATCCCCGTGATGTCCCCAGTTGGCCCCAGACGTCACTTTTGTACTCTTGTACTTGAAGGTTTGCCCCTCCTGTCAGGCCTGGCAGCACATGAACATGTCTCTGGCTCTCCCTGTCCCACACCTCCCTGTCTAGGTCTTGGAACTCCTTCGAGATTGCCGAGCCAGAATGTCCCTGCTGGCCCAGGGGGGTGAAACTGCACTGGCTTCGTCCTTGGGGGAGCTGTGGGGGCTCCGGGCTGGATCTCTGGGAAACCTGCACCTGGCCCTGTCCTCCCGGCTCCGGCCTCAGGCCGAAGGGTAATAGCTGATGTTGCTTATTCCTTCACTGCCCTGCTGGACCCTTCTCCTGTTATCCCCAGGGGAAGGAGAACCTGCTGGGTGCTGACCTCACCCCCACCCCTAGGTCACTGTGGCCCAACTGGATGCAGAGGTCCCCCCAGATCCCAGGGCTGGGGTTTGGCCAGGTAAGCAGGACAGGCATGTGCAGGAGGGGAAGGAAGGGGAGAGGTGGAGGGCCTCCAGCTGGGACCTGCTAAGTACGGTTTCTTTCCCCCCAAAGCTGAGCAGTCTGAGACCTCTGGGCCTTACCTCTGGGGTTCCCCTGGTTGATCCTGAAGAGCTGCTACCAGCCCAGGGGGAGCCTGACCGGACATATGAGTGCGGTGCCCACACCATTATGGTCAAGTAAGAAAGCTGAAAGTCCTTCAAGGCCCATCAATCCAGACACCTAGCTATCAGCCCAGACCTGTACACTGTCAATCCCAACAGGACCCACGCCCACCCCTCCCACTCCCACACCAGGACCCCTCTTCTCCCAGTCTCCTCTCCCTAGGCCTCCCCTTATTCCCTGATTTTACTGTTCTGTCCTAAAGCCTCCTGTGGAGGGGACACCGAGTGACCATTCGGAAATTGAAGCCACCCCCAGCCCCAGTCCTCCCAGACCTGCTGTTGTCTGACCTGAAGCATTGCAGGTACTGTCTGGGTTGGGAGACGGCCTTAGACCATGCTTCCCTCATTCTCAGTCAATCAGTAGACATTTGTTGGGCACCTACTATGTGCCAGGCACTGTGCTTAGTACTGGGGATGTAAAAGAAGGCAAAGGATGGTCCCTGCCCTCAAGAAGCTTCCAATCTAATGAATAATCCTCATGTTCCATGGAACCCCTCAGATTCCAGCAGAAGGGCTGACCCCCTTCAGCTGGTGGCCCCTGGGAGGAGGGGGTGGGGCAGTCTGGGGCTGTGGCTGAGGCCCCCCAGGAGCCTTCCCTGTAATTTTGTCTCCCACAGCTTCCTCCATCACCCAAACTTACTGCTGCTCATGGCCCTGAGCCCCTCCCCTGACCTGGCTGGCCTGTCTCTCCTGTTTGAGCCCATCCAGGAGGGTTCCCTGCACCGAGTGCTGCACCCCAACGGGGTGAGTCACACCCAGCTCCAGAGGGAGAGCTGGCCCGGGATAGGGGGACCCTTCCCCCCTTTATCTGATGCTTCTGCTTTTGGATGTTAGTGTGAGGAAAAGTCCCGGCTGCCTTCTGCTTCTCTCCCTCCCTTGGAAGCCTCTGAAGGACCCAGGGTTAGCATGTGGCAGATTCCTCCTGGGATACTGGACTTACTCAGAGGGGAAAGAAAGACCAGGGGCCAGAAAGGGACAGACAGAGCAGAAGGAAGTCATCAGGTGTGGAGAAGGAGTTCAGGCCTGGCTGGAGGACAGTGGAGTCTTGGAAGGAGACATTCCCCTTGCCTGTGGTCGGCTTTCAGTGGGGGAGGGATCCCATTTTCTTCTGTTAGGGATGATCTTAGGGGTACCTGGGGCACTGTGGAATTAGGA